CAATATCTCTGCACTGTAATTTGCCAACTTGTAACTTCAGGGTCTGGTCGTAGCAAAGGTGGCATAGGAAGTCTGACAAAAGGAGAGTAATTTCTGATTGCTCCCAAGAATCCAGGTTCAAACACAGGTGTATAAGTATACAGAGGGCTAAATGTAAATCCCAAATTTCAAGCATTTGAGAAGATAGAGCCAAGTATTATGGTTGAGGTTAGACAAAGCAAACATGTTTGTCCTGCAGTTTTAACTTGTGTTATCTGACAGCCGATAATGGAGCACCACTGATGGTAGCATTGCCATTACAGTATGTTCATGACAGCAGTGACTCAGTTGGGTGAAAGATTGGAAAGTGGATAAATCACCTGGACCAGGTGGACTACACCCCAGGATCCTGAAGGATGTAGCCGAGAGGACTGTGAAGGCATTGCTGGTGATTTTTCAGGAATCACTGGAGTCAGGGACGACCCCAAAGGTCTGAAAAATGGCTAATGTAACACTACTCTTTAAAAAGGGAGAGAGGCAGAAGACAGGAAACTATAGGCCTGTTAGCCTGACCTGGGTCATTGATAATATTTCAGAGTCCATTCTTGAGGATGGAGTACTTGGAAGTGCATGGTGAAATAGGGCTGATTGAGCATGGCTTCATCGAGTGGAGGTCATGCCTGACAAATCTGTTAGAATTCATCAAAGAGGTAACGAGCAAGTTAGACAAAGGAGAGCCAATGGATGTGATCTATTTGGATTTCCAGAAGGCCTGTGACAAGATGCCACACAGGAGGCTACTAATTAAGATTAGAGCCCATGGTGTTAGGGACAAGGTACTGGCACTGATGGAGGATTGGCTGACTGGCAGAAGGCAAACAGTAGGATAAAGGGGTCTGTTCAGAATGGCAGCTGGTGGCTAGTGGAATTCCGCAGGGGTCAGTATTGGGACCACAACTATTCACGTTTTACCTTAATGATCTGGGCGAGGAAACTGAGTGCATTGTTGTTAGGTTTGTAGATAATATAAAGATAGGTGGACATACAGGTAGTGTACAGGAGATGGGGAGTCTGCAGAAGGACTTGGATAGGCTAGGAGTCTGGGCAAAGAAGTGGCAAATGGAATACTATGTCGGCAAGTGTGAGGTTATGCACTTTGGTAGGAAGAACAGTGACACAGACTATTTTCTAAATGGGAAAATGCTTCAGAAATCTGAAGCAAAAAGGAACTTAGGAGTCCTAGTTCAGGATTTTCTTAAGGTTAACATGTAGGTTCAGTTGGCAGTTAAGAAGACAAATGCAACGATAGCATTCATTTCAAGAGGACCAGAATACAAGAGCAGGGATGTACTGCTGAGGCTGCATAAGGATCTGGTCATACTGTGTTTTGGAATATTGTGAGCAGTTTGGGGCATTGTATTTAAGGAAGAATGTGCTGGCTTGGAGGGGGTCCAGAGGAGGTTTACAAGAATGATCCTAGGGGTGAAGGGCTTGTCATATGAGGAGCAATTCAGGACTCTGGGTCTGTACTCTGTGGAAATTAGAAGGAATGTTGGGGTGGTCTCATTGAAACTTGGGAATACTGGGAGTCCTGGATAGAGTGGATATGGAAAAGATGTTTCCATGAGTAGGAGAGACTATGACCTAAGGACACAGCCTCAAAGTGAAGGGACAACTCTTTAGGACTGAGATGTCAAGGAATTTCTTCAGCCAGAACTCATTGCCTCAGAACGCTGTGGAGGCCAAATCATTGGATGTATTTAAGGCAGAAATAAATAGGTTTGTGATTAATAAGGGGATCAAAGATTATGGGGAGAAGGCAGGAGAATGGGGTTGAGAAACATATCATGCATGATCGAATGACAGGCCAAACTCAATGGGCTGAGTGGCCTAATTCTGCTCCCATATCTTACGGTCTTATGGTAGTATTCTTGTTCCAGTGTCATGGGTATGGGTTCATTTCTAATTCCAGGGCATGAATACAAAAGTCAAGGCTGACATTTTGGTGTAGTACTACACTGAGGCAATACTGGGATATCATATGAGATGTTAAACCAAAGACCTGTCTGTCCTCGCAAATGGATGTAAGCATCCCACTGCACCATTTTGAGGAACGGCAAGAAAGTTGTCGCTAAAGTTCAGGCCCATAATTCTCCCTCAGTCAGTGTCACAAAAACACATTATCGGGCCATTATCACATTGCTGTTTATGAGAACTTGCTGTATGAAAAATGGCTGGTGCATTTCCTACACTGCAATAATAACTACATTTCAAACAACATAAAGTGCTTAAAGTGCTTGGGATGTCTAGTAACCATGGAAGGTGCAATATCAATACAGACTTGTTTATATCTATAATGTGGATGTTCTTGGGTGCAGGCAGAGTGAGGAACAAGCAGCAGCCCCTGCAGAGATGAAGAACATATTGGAGTTGAAATGTATCTTGTTCAGTGAAACCGTGAAATGCTATATTTCAAAAACTGTTTTGGCAAGGTATAGACTGGTGTCTTATACTTAATATTTATTTACAGAATTACAGATGAGTGCCATACACCACCCAACACAACAATCACAGTTTAACTCTTTGTCTCTTTATAGGAGACTCAAGTGTTATTACTCACATTTTGCATACCTTTACACCCAATTAGTATATAAATAATATTGCACGTTATAGTATGTGAATGTCACTATGCAAATGTATGTCATTATTGTTACAAAGCATACTATAGTGAATTGACAGTCTGTTTTATACTCTACCCCATTCTGTTTTCCATTGTACAGAAATTGGGTGGCATGTAAAATGGGTTGCTTGTGGTCAATAGCAAATAAGAATTTTCCACTCTGTTGAATGAAAGTGATGAAGGATTTTGGAGCAGGCAGTGTAAACAACTGTGTAAAACAGTGAAGGTTTAAAACCAAGTTTCTAGATGAAATAGTTCAGCAGGAAAAACAATTTCTGGCTATTTATATTCATATTCATTTAAACAAAATTAAGTAAATTAAAAATATTCTCTTCAACCTTCTTCAGATAAATGAACTTTATGAATAAACTGATTGATATTTATGTATGGACAATGCAGTAAATGCATATAACTGGCAAGCAGTTGTTAAGGTTTATAAAAAAATCAGGGAAAAAATAATTTGCATCCTTATAAATTAGGCAGCAAGGTGGCTCAGTGGTTAGCACTGCTGCCTCACAGCAGTTTGATTCCACCCTCAGGTGACTGTCTGTGTGGAGTTTGCACATTCTCCCCGTGTCTGCGTGGGTTTCCTTTAGGTGCTCCGGTTTCCTCCCACAGTCCAAAGATGTGCAGGTTAGGTGGATTGGCCGTGCTAAATTGCTCATAGTGTCCACGGATGTGCAGGCTAGGTGGATTAGCCGTGGGAAATGCAGAATTACAGGGACAAGGTGGAGGGTGGGTCTGAATGGGATGCTCTTCAGAGGGTTGGAGTGGATTCAAAGGGCTGAATGGCCCGCTTCCACATTGTAGAGATTCTATGATTCTATGGTTCTAAGTGTGTTAAAAGATCAGATATATCCTTTGACAATTTTTAAGAATGGCATGCATTCAAAATTAATTTTCCATGAAATAGTCTAAACTGTTTTAACAAAGCCTTTGAACAGGATTGGGGTCGAAAAATATCAAAATGAAATATTGTTAAAAAAGGAGACGCGTTGCTGAAGCTTTTGATCGTACAGTCATCAGGATAAATGCAAGAATGCCAAGTATTGAACAATCATAACAATTTGCTTTATAAGAGAAATGGGTACTGGCTAATTGGAAAGTCAATGCGGAACTATAGCCTCTCCAAGCTCCTAGGTAATTAAAAACAGTTGCAAAACTTGAGCATATTCCATTTGTTTGCAGCGAATCAGTCCCTGTATAGTCACTCCTAGCAAACTTCTTTCAGTTGTTCATAATACGTAGACTCTAGATTGTGCTCAACCAGCTTGCACTTAGTAAAAAACAAAGCAAAATATCTGCTGTTAAACGTGATTCCACAATGTGGCAGTATTTGCTGACCTATCCTGAGTGCACTAAGTAGAATTCTCGAGTACACTGGAGTATACTACTCTGACAACCAATTTAAGATGATCAGTTGAGCTCACAATATGTATAGTGTGACTTATTTACACTTGTTAGCAGCAACATACATCGATATGCAGAGACTGATTCTCTGAAATGAAAAGGAATATGTTTAGATCTTGCATCTTTATTAACTTACCTAGGAGTATGAGAAGCCCATCGTTCCCCAATGCTTTCTTCGTGGCAATGCCTCAGCCTATCTGGGGAGACAGTGACATTGTCATTGGAATAACATTCAGTGTCCCAGGCTAATGCTCTGGGGACACAGGCTGAAATCATAAAAGGGGAACTAGCGGAATTTAAATTGAATTGTTAAATCTGGAAATGAAAGCTAGTCTCAGTAATGGTAACCATGAAACTATGATTGATCATTGTATAAACCCATCTGGTCCACTAATGTCCTTTAGAAAAGGAAATCTGCCATCCTTGTCTGGCTTGAATGTGACTCTGGATCCACAACAGTATGGTTAATGCTGAAATAGTCTAGCAAATCATTCAATTCAAGGACAGTTAGGGATGGACAACAAAAGCTTGCCATATCCTATGAAAGGGGAAAAAAATGTAATCAATGATCAATTGCCAGTCAGCACCATTTTCTTCAGCAATATAAATTGTCATTCTTGCATCTATCCTGATGACTGTAAGACAAAATACTTTGACAGCATGTCTCTCTTTTCAACAATATGCAATTCTGTACTATCATGCAAAATATGAAATAAGCTTAGATTTCACTTTTCAGAGTGTTAGATGGATGCCAAAGCGGAATTTCTTTGAACCATCCCAATGGTTGGATACTTTGCCTTTGGGGTGTTTTCAAAGAAGCTCCTTCTCTCTCTGTTTCATAGTATTATCTGCTATGAACAGCAAATGAAAAATTAAAAGTAGAACCTCTGTTTTAAATTATTAAACGCCTGAGAATTCTTTTCATTTGCAGGCAGCAAACATCCCACTTGCCACTGAACTCAGTATTGATGAATTCCATTTCAATGACTTCTCTCTTGACAATGATGCTATGATCACTGCAGCCCTCAGAATGTTTATGGAGCTTGGAATGGTGCAGAAATTCAAAATTGATTATGAGGTAATTCATCCAAGTACAAACGGAATGATTTATAAAATGTAATTTTTGTGCATTATTCATTATATATCCTACAAATGCAAAATGTGTAAGAGCTAAGCCTGAATTAACTTGTTGACAGTTGCCATTTGGGCCTAACAGAAATTGACTGAAGGATATTGACTCCTTCCCCCCATATTGAGGTCCTTCCACCTGACTTAGAGTCATAGAGGCGTACAGCATGGAAACAGACCCTTCGGTCTAACTTGTTCATGCCCACAAGATATCCTAAATTAATCTAGTCCCATTTGCTAGCATTTGGCACATATCCCTCTAAACCCCTCCTATTCATGTACCCATCTAGATGCCTTTTAAATGTTGTAATTGTACCAGCCTCTACCACTTCCTCTGGCAGTTCATTCCATACACGCACCACCCTCTGCATGAAAAAGTTGCCCCTTAGCTCCCTTTTAAATCTTTCCCCTCTCACCTTAAACCAATGCCCTCTAGTTTTGGACTCCCCTACCCTGGGGAAAAGACCTTGATTATTCACCCTATCCATGCCCCTCCTTTTACACTGATTTTTTGTTTTCTACTGTTACAATTGGATTTGCAATAGACTGACCATCATCAGCAGGATGCTTTGGGCCTTTCCTTTTATTCCTGATACATTTTGCTCATATTATCCTCTCACCATACAACCTCAAGTTCTCTGGTCTGTGCAATGATGGTTACTGATTTAACGTAACTCACACATATTGTTGAATGGATTATTGTCACTCAAATGAAAAGCAAACTGTGACAATAAAATGTGCTGTTACTGTGAACTATGATGAGAGGTTGAGGGAAATTACATCAATATTCTCTGAAGATTGAGAGGTGAGAACAGTTTTTTTGTCATGGAGGTGGGAATTGGCAATCGTGAATTTTCCCAAAGTTGTGTGCCTCCCAGGAAAGCCAGCAAGTAGAGTTTTGGTCTCCTGGAGGGCACTACATATCGCTGCCACAGAGACAGGTGGGCTGATACCAAGGCAGCCAGGCTCATCCCTGTTCACAGTAACATTGACCCAGTTTTTCATTTCAGTGCAAAGACCCACGCTGTTTGCACCACGCTCCCTTGACACCCCAAAAACCCCTACCTCCCCTTCAAATCTCCTTCATCTACTTCAGCTCTTCTTTAACTGTCTTCAGCTGCTCCTTCACCCTCAAGCTGCTCATCCATTATTCACTTTACAAATAGAATTCATACGCCCCACAATATTTGGAAGTAATTAAAAAGACCAGACTCTGTTAATTTTTTTTTAAATCTTCATTTGAGAAACCTCCTCTTCCAAAGTTTAAGAAATCTGTCAAAACCATGAAACTTACATTCCCCAATCCAGCTTTGCCAAAAAAAACACTGCAGTACAGAATCTATTGGTGCCTTTGAAGTTAGCCAAAAGCTCATCCAAACAATGCCTTACAATCTGTGGAATTCCCTCCTGTTGCTATATGACAGAACCTTCCTATCATTCCATTCCTATTGCTTTTGTTTTGGTTGTAACAACACCTGTCATCTAACCTCTGAAACTTAATCTCTCTTTTCCAAGCTCTTCACCATTCTGCTTTGAATATTTTGGCCCATTAGAGCTGCTATATTAATGTAAATTGTGATACACTGGATTTACACAATGTGTTTTATAGACTTTGTGCAGGTGGTTACTGACTGTTCGTAAGAACTACAGGATGGTTCTCTACCACAATTGGCGGCATGCATTTAATGTGTCTCAATGCATGTTTGCAATACTGACAGTGAGTATTCAATTAATGCAGCAATAGATGATACCAAATCAAAACAAGTTATTCAGCTTTATTGAAAATATGTTCCTTTGTTTTGAATTTGGTTTTATCTTTGTTGACCTAGTTAAATTTAATGTACTTGCAATAGTATAAATTTAAAACAGAAAACTCTAGAACTGTGATTGCAGATGCAATATTGCAGTTAAGCTTGTATATTCAGGTAAATGACTGTGTGTCCTTATTGTTATGTCACAATACAGCTATTAATGTGTAAATACTAGATTTTCTGTTGTGAAGAAATTAGTTTATAGTTTGGGAAGGAACACTGAAAACACAAAGCTCTAGAGATATTTTTAAATAGATTGTCATAATAGATCGTCAAGATTTTACTGAGATATTGCAGTCAGAACTGAAATAAATATCTTAAAAAGATTAAACTAAATTGGATCTCAAGCCTATATTGTGAATTAGAGAGTTGTTTATTTTCATATGCCAGAAGTAAACCTTCCAGTCATCTGGCATAAAACATGGAAAAGTTCAATAATCTGCATAGAGATTTTGTGGCAGTAATGATGGTGAAATAGTCAGTGTTACTCTACTGAAACTGATAGCAACTTCTGGAGTCCATACATATGCAGTTAAATATGCAAAGCCCTTAAGTTGCTTTAGTCATTCCATGCTTCTTTAGAGAATGAAATGTTGGATTTCTCTATTGATGTTAATCAAGTAGAAATTCAACTGATGAGAGGTCATATTTATACTTTCTCAATTTCTTTTTATTCATTGAGGGGATGTGGGTGTTCCTGGCTGAGCCAGCAATTATTGTCCATTCCCTTGACAAGGTGGTGGTGAGCTGCAATCTTGAACTACTGCATCCATTTGTTAAATGTGCAAACACAACGCTGCTAGGGAAGGAGTTTCAAGCTTTTGACCCAACGATGCTGGAGGAATGGTGATATATTTCTACATCAGGATGATCAGTGACTTGGACAGGGGACGGTGTTCCCATGCATAATTAGCCCTAACCCTTCTAAATGATAGTGGTTGCAGGTTCAGAAGGTGCTGACTAAAGATCCTTGGTGAGTTTCTGCAATGCATCTTCCTGCTATTGAGCATTGGTGGTGAAAGGGCTGAATGTTTGTGGATGCGGTGCCAATCTTTTGGCCTGGATGCTGTCAATCTTTCAAGTATTGTTGGATGTGCACTCGTCCAGGAAAGTGGGAAATATTTCTTCACATTCCTGATTCGTGTCTTGTAAATGCTGGGCAAGCTCTGGGGCATCAGGAGGTGAGTTACTTGCTGCAGAATTCCTAGCATCTGACGTACTCTTGTATCCACAGTATCTATTTGGCGAGTCCAGTTCAGTTTCAGTTTCAGTTCATGTTACTGTAAAAACTCTTGAAAAAGTTACAATTTGTTGAATGATGTGTATCTGGATTTTTACTGTCATACCAAGTTCATAGTTACATCTGAAAAATATTTCTAACCTGAGTCAACTAATTTCATATTTTATGGAAGTGAAACTTCTCAACTCTGATTTACAAAGAAACATCTTTAAACTATCAATCCAAAACAGTTATTTTCTGAAATTTAGTTAAAAATGGATTAATCAATGCATTTTACACCTGGCTTGCTTTCCATGCGAATTATTCATTTTAATAGACTGCCAATCCTCTTTGATGACCTCAACAGTGATCCTTGTGGTACTCCACTAGGTACAGGTTATCCATCCCTTAAAATGCCCCCTTTATCCTAGCTCTCTGTCTTCTATTAGTTAACTAATTCTTGATCCATGCTAATATTTTACCCCAAAACCATGGACTCTTAGTTTATTAAGTAGCCTAGTGTGCAGTACATTTAGTAATCCAAAGATGTTACATCTATTGGTTCCCCTTTCTCTATCCTACTTCAATTGAAGCATGAACTTGTTTTTGCTCCATGGCAGCTGATGTGTTTATTTGTTGTTGTTTCGGCTTTGATATATTTAATTGTATCTCTTCTTTGACTGTAATTGTTTTCTCACATTTGTTCAACTAGAATAAAAGGTCCAATTGGTTGAGTTCATCTAGTCTGTTTGATTCAGTTATGTTTCCTTCATGATATATTCCATTATTGGAACATTAGGGCAGGACAAAATAAAGCAAAGAACTGTGGATGCTGACAATCTCAGCGTAGTCTCCAGATACAGACAGTGACCATCAGAATACACCCTCCAAACCCCATCCACAAAGGTTGGCATCAGATACACCTGGACACATTTCTGACTAACTCGAAATACAGTTAGCCAGTTTAATACTGTGTTTTGCAGCTCGTTGACATCTTGCATTGCAATGCTGCAGCCAAGCTGCTTTGCACAGAGGGACAGGAACCTATTCTCATGTATCAGGGATCATAGCTTGTTCCCTTAGTGCTCAATAACTCTGCATCTACTTGGATGCTCACTGCCTTGCTTTTTAGTGCATCATCCGGAACCTTCAGACTCAATGTACTTCTGCCTAGCCTCATTTCTTAGCGCAGATACAAAGCCAGTCAGCTTGTCTTTTCTGTCAGCGGTGACCAAGAAAGAGGCAGGCACATGAATCAACCTACATGGATGACCTGTCCTTAGCTCTGTGTCCATGTTTGACAGAGGAGTACTCTCTCTCTGTAATCCCTAGCGTGGTAATGTCACTGCCACACCAGCAGGCAGCTTATGTGGCAAACACACTGAATGTGCTCCAACCTAATAGCTGTGACTTGAAGTCAAAGTGGAGCAGACCTCAGTCAAGGCAGACTGGCATCAGTCGAAGGTACAGACAGAATAAGTCACGGGCATCATCAGTCCAGGGGCTTAGACACAGTCAGTCAGCCACTAGGGGTGGGCAGGGCTGGGACCACCGCAAGTGCACAAAGGAGTGACTGTAAGACAGTCAAGGAGCTGTCCAGAAATCATTCAGGGATCTGATCTCATCAGTCAGGCTGTCGTTACAAATCATTCAGGCAGCTGGACCATGGCCAGTCTAAACAATGATGAGATGTTATGTATGCTGGGAAAGAGAAGCACTTCCTTAGACAGGGTTCAAAAAGGACCTAAAAACCGAAAGAACTACAGATGCTGTAAATCGGGAACAACTCACTTCTCTACCTGCCTTTGTTCAAAACGGACATGGCCTAATGAAGAGTAGCCTGCAGGTTTGATTCTTGTAGCTGCAGTTACAATGACAGTCAATCAGACTGATGATGTGCCAAGACATTTCTGAATGTGAGCTCTAATTTGCAATGAGGTGTCACCTTTGCCACCTGCATGCCCTCTGAGGGGTTCTTTGCCATTTCCCTCTCACTGCGTGTCCTGTGAAGGCCTATTCATGGCTGGCAGTGGTTGTCGCAGTGTACGTCTAGGCTTTAATTAATGGTTTTGGCCTGCAAATGACTTGAAGCGCTCAGATAATGGCAATGACTTCTCTGCTCTCCACATACTGTTCAGTTGCTGACTGTTCTTTATTCTGCAACCTGTTCACCTGCTGCCACCACCTGCTTTTCTACATTAGTTGGGCCCAGGAGAGGGGTTGTCAGAAAATATTATCATGTTTAGAATGAAAAGGTAAATAGTAAATACATAAAGGGCAAGAGTTCACATCTACCATGAGGCTACTAGAGGAGCCATCTTCTTACTTAGTAATGAAGGGGACTATATGTTCACATTAACTATCTATGCTACATCTCCCCCTCTCCACCAAGCCTCTAACTCTATCCATTACACCACATTTTATTATTTAAACTCCTTCTCTTACATGTCTGCCAAAGTCTCTGACGTTATCCTTGATTTACTGAGGTACTTGCTGTGGTGGTTTCATCAGTCTACCCAACCCTGGTCTCAGTTCCATCAGAGGAGATTAGAATGTGAGTTCTCTACACCTTCTGTAAAACTCTGTTGGGCAGAATGAGAACCATCAGATATTTACAGTCACTGTTCATGCATCTTCCAGGTCTCCTGAATAACAGGTCAATTCTGTTGAAAGAAAATCTCTTTGTGGACGCAGGTACTCTCCTGTTTCACCACACTGTTTCAT